ACTTAAATTAAAAGAAAGTAAATCGTGATGAGACAAAAATACCTTGCCTTGGTATTATGTGTTTTTACTTTTCAAAAATGCTGTGATAACCTTAGTAGCAATGAGTACAACTAACGCCCAAATTCTAGTTTCTAAATGCCTTTCCTGACTAAAAGGAATCAGAGCTCTTTAGAGGAATGGCAGATTCCAGGGCTGGTGCAGGGAAGGTATAAGGTGAACTTTTTGTGCCAGAAAGCAAGAACATGGTCAGAGACTAATAGGGACACATTAAAATGACCCAAAGCTAGTTTAAAGGGCTCCCCAGGCCACCATTAGGACAATTTGATCATTAAAAACACTAATGACTGTAACCTATTGTAAATCATTGAATAAATAAAATCCAAGAGTTCATAATGACTATCAAAAAAAGAGAGGGGGGTGGTGTCTGGCTAACTCAGTCAGTGAAGCATCCAACTCTCTCTCTCTCTCTTTTTTAAGATTTTATTTATTTATTTGAGAAAGAGAGAGAGAGAGTGAGAAGGAACATGTGAGGGGAGAAGGTCAGAGGGAGAAGCAGACTCACCGCGGAGCTGGGAGCCCGATGTGGGACTTGATCCCAGCACTCCGGGATCATAACCTGAGCCGAAGGCAGTGGCTTAACCAACTGAGCCATCCAACTCTTGACCTCAGGATTGTAAGTTCAAGCCCCATGTTGGGTGTAGAGATTACTTAAATAAAATCTTTGGGGCACCTGGGTGGCTCATTTATCTGACTCTTGATCTCAGCTCAGGTCTGGATATCAGGGTCATGAGTTCAAGCCCCGTGTTAGGCTCCATACTGGGTTTGGAGCCTACTTGATAAATGTTTTTTTAAAGAAAAAGGAGATAGAGAAAACAAAGTTCTTGTGTTAACACTGGAGGTAATTATTACGTCAACCTATTCTGAAAATTGATAAAAAGTAAGTGTTTAGAAGGAATTGTAGTTCATCCCCAGCTGGTGAAGGAAAGTTCTTTACACAGGAATATAGAGGGAATGATAGCATTTTAAAATTTGCCATTTTGCAACCCCAGTGAAGGTACTGAACCAGGCAAATATTGTCAGTGGATGCAAACCCATTAAGTGAAAGGTTGTAGGCCAATGGGATATTGGCCTGTGCCCAAGTATCACCCAGAGATTACTTGCAAATTGCAGAGAGGGAAAATACGCTTTTTCTGGAGAGATCTGGTGGTCACAGTCCTTTTTTTTTTTTTTTTAAGATTTTATTTATTTATTTGACAGACAGAGATCTCAAGTAGGCAGAGAGGCAGGCAGAAAGAGGAAGGGAAGCAGACTACCCACTGAGCAGAGAGCCCAATGTGGGGCCCGATTCCACGACCCCGAGGTCGTGACCCCAGGTGAAGGCAGAGGTTTTAAGCCACTGAGCCACCCAGGCGCCCCTGGTGGTCACAGTCTTAACCAAAAATCTAACTTAGCATCACTGAGAGTGAGGCAACCAGGCATTATGTGTTCCTGACCGGATGCAATGAAACAGACATGCCTTTACTCACAAAGTATTCTCACCATTGTGTCTAACCTAAAGTGATCATGTCTTTAAACCTAACTTTCTGTACGCAGGAAAAATAGGGGAGAGAGGAATGAGCTAGGTAATGCCAGGAGGAACCAACCAAATGAATCTAAAATGTATAGCATTTTAGATATTTTAAAAATATCTTTATTTTAAAGTCAGATGTCTTTAAAAAAGTCAGTATCCTGGAGGGGGAGATTCTTCTAGATTTAAAATGACTAAGGGAGGGGCGCCTGGGTGGCTCAGTAGGTTAAAGCCTCTGCCTTTGTCTCAGGTCATGATCTCAGGGTCCTGGGATCAAGCACCGCATTTGGCTCTCTGCTCAGCGGGGAGCCTGCTTCCCTTCCTCTCTCTGCCTGCCTCTCTGCCTACTTGTGGTCTCTGTCTGTCAAATAAATAAACAAAATCTTTAAAAAAAATTTTTAGAGAAATCTAAGTCAGACCTAGACCAGTTGGAGAGGCAGCTTCTAATGTCGGTGGAACCAAAAAACACAGGGACTAAGAGAAAAGTAAATCTTGAAGTTACTCTTATTTAAATACTTTCATTATCTTGGTATTTCTTGTAGTGTTCAAGAATGCATTTAGAGTTCCATTCTGTACACTTTCTGGAGCTGGCAGAGCTGGGAATCTGAGGGGGGAAGGGGAGGTGAGGCAGCGTGGACTAGTAAGTGGGGTGAGAACTGGGGCCCGTTCCCAGGTACTCTGGTTCCCTTCCCAGTGTCCTTTCCTTCCAGTTGAGAATCCTCATCCTTATACGGGAAGCCACCACCTAAAAGAACTATTAGGGAGCCCCTTAGTCCCGCAGCATCTTCCTAGCACTGGCACACATGTGCTTTATTTAGGTCTCCCGGGATCATCTTCTAATTAACTCTCTGTCCCTGGATTCTGGACCACTCCATGCCCACGGTGGCTGGCCTTCATTTTTCTTTTCTTTTTTTCTTTTTTTTTTAAGATTTTTAAATTATTTATTTGACAGAGAGAGAGAAAGAGAGAGAGAGAGATCACAAGTAGGCAGAGAGGCAGGCGTCGGTGGGGGATAGGGGAGCAGGCTCTCCACTGAGCAGAGAGCCTGACAAGGGGCTCGATCCCAGGACCCTGGGATCATGACCCGAGCCGAAGGCAGAGGCTTTAACCCACTGAGCCACCTAGGTGCCCCTGGCCTTCATTTTTCTTGTGTGTCTTTTACATTGTAGTTTTGGCACAATGCTGGATGAGGCGTGAGAGCTCCGTCTATCTTTTCTGACCTATTGTCTTCAGAAAGCACTTAATAAATGCTCAGAAGAGGGGCTCCTGGTTGACTCAGTGGGTTAAGCCTCTGCCTTTGGCTCAGGTCAGGATCTCAGAGTCCTGGCATCAAGCCCCACATCGGGCTCTCTGCTCCGCAGGGGGCCTTCTCCCCTCTCTCTCTCTGCCTGCCTCTCTGCCTACTTGTGATCTCTTTCTCTGTGTCAAATAAATAAATCTTTTAAAATAATAAATAAATAAATAAATGCTCAGAAGAGAAGAGATGGGTAAGAACAGATATGTTTGGCTTTCTAACAATCCTCAAGCTTAACGTATAAGGGCTATGAACAAAGAAACAAACAAACCAGGAGAACTTACAAAACACATTTTAAGGAAGCAGAACGTTTACCAATCATGACGGCAGGGCTGAAACCCAGAGATGAGCTCCAGCTAGAGCAGGAGGACTCCACTGTTCAGCCTCCCTCTGACCTTATCATTGATTCTCTTCCCGAAGGAGTGTTTGTTCTCTTCAAGACTGTGTTTGCTGGCCTGAAACTTCTGGGGGAAGGGACAGCTTTTGTGGTTTTGTCCCTGTTTGATTTTTCTCCAGTTTCTGCATACCCTGCTCCTCCCACCTATGGCTGGTCTCCAAGGCCCACAGAGCTGCCCACACCAAATGCCTCAGTCTCAATCATGGCACAGAGAACATGTGGCCCAGGAACACAGCTTCAGGGACAGATAGACCTGGGAGAGGAATTTATAGCTGGGTGACGCATTTGGGGATCTGTTTGACCTCAGGCGACTCTCACGGCCTCTGAGACTCAGTTTCTTCTGCAGAGTGGAGAGATAATAAAACGAACTTTTTTTTTTAATTTTAAATTTTTTATTTTTTTTAAAGATTTTATTTATTTGATAGACAGAGATCACAGGTAGGCAGAGAGGCAGGCAGAGAGAGAGTAAGGGAAGCAGGCTCCCTGCGGAGCAGAGAGCCGGATGTGAGACTCGATCCCAGGAGTCTGGGATCACGACCGGAGCCAAAGGCAGAGGCTTCAACCCACTGAGCCACCCAGGCACCCGATAAAACGAGCTTCTTCCCCCAAAATGGCTGAGTGTATGAGTTCAGATGACCCAGGCCTCCATGCTTCATCCGGTGCTTCAAAATGTTAGTGACCATCGGCGCCCATGTGCCCAAACTCTGCTGTCCTCTGTGTGCTGGGCCGCCCCCGAGGCCGGTAAAGGATCCGCAATCTGTCTTCCTCCACGCTCTCTTCCCTTATCTCTGAAAATTGACTCAGCCGATATCTGGTTAGCAGAAACAGCACCCACCCAGACTTGCCCTTGCCCGTCTTAGTGTTTATTCCCTAGGAGGCTGTCCGGGAGGCCGTGGAGCTCCTCCACTTCGGAGTCAGACTGCCTGGGTTCAAATCCCAGTCCCACCATTGACTGGCCCTGTGGGGTTGGGCAGGGCCTGTCCTATTACAGGAAAAGCACAGTGTTATTATTAGAGGCCTGGAGCTGGAGTATGTTACCATTAGAGTTGGGGCTCAAATCCCAGGTCCGCCATTTACTGCCTGGGTGACCTCATGCAAGATACTTAACCTCTGTGTGCCTCAGTTTTCTCCTCACCTGTACATGCGAATTTTATCAATAGTACCTTCCGTACACGAGACTATCGAGGTAGATGGTAGGCGCTATCATTTGTTTGTTTGAAATAAAGTCATTCTCTCCAGGTGTGGAGCTTGCCTAGGGGAGTGGGGAGAGGATGCACCCGGCTGGCTTTTTAAACAAAGGTTGCTTGACTTTCCGGCTCTCTCTTGCCTCTCCAAAGTCAGGAAGACCCGGGACCCGGCTCCCCGCCCCCGTCTAGCACCGCCCCCTTCTGGCCCCGCCCCGCCCCACCTCACCTGGTCCCGCCCTGTCCCTCCTAGTCCTGCCCCTGAGCTAGTCTCGCGTATTTTCAGAGTGCGCGAGCTCGGGCCGGGACCGGGGGCCGACGGTTGGTCCGGCGAAGCCATCTGTCACGCTACGTGGGGGGAGCCAACAGTCTAGGCTTCCTTGTTTTTTCAATTTTGGGGTTTCCTCGCCCAGATTTTTGGTCATATTATAGCGTTAAGTCCTCCCCGTTTGCTCAGTCTCTCAGCAGGGAGCGCTGCCTCTCTGGGAGAAGGTCATTGTGCCTCTGTGCGGCGTCCTTCCCCTCCTGACGCGGAGCCGGTGGGAGAAGACGACGGCCGGCGGGGGGAGGAGGCGGCTCTAGCGCCATTTTGTGGGAGCGAAGCGGTAGCTGGGCTGCTCCTGGATCCCTCGCTGCTTCGGTTTCCCTGTCGGGCTTCCTAGCAGCGGCCTAGCGGGTGAGTCGCGAGCGCTTCTCACTGAGGACACCCTGGGCGTCTCGGCTCCCGCGCTGCGCGGCCCGAGGCGGACGCAGCGGGTTCCGCCCTCGCCCCGGGAAGGGAGCCGTGGGGCCGGGCCTGCCTCGTCCTGCCTGAGCGGCCTCGCGCGGGCGCGTCGTTAGGGCCCGGCGCGGGGTGGCAGCCGGCGCCGGAGCAGGGACAATTGGCCCGCGGTGCCGTGCAGTCCGAGGCGGAGCTTTGGCCTGGCCTCCGGCCCGAGCCGTGCCCTGGGCCTCCAGCATCCGGCACGCCTGGGGCCCCCGGCAGCCTAGGCCCTGGGTCCCCGCGTCTGTACCTCGGGCCGCGCTTAAAAACTCCTCCCTCGGCCCCCACGCACTGGCTTCTGGGAGGTGGCGGCCCGCGTCGCTAAGGACTTGTCGTCGCTGTCCTTGGATCAAGTTTGGGGAACTCCCCCCGGAAGCCCCCCAATGAGGAACAGGGAGGAACTTTTTTCCTGCTCTCCTCCTGCTCACTGCTTGCGTTCCTCCTCGACACGGCTTCTGCATCGCGTTCTTAGGGACATGTGCTCTGATCCCCACACACGTCTCAGCGTAGGTTCTCCTCGGCCCCCCAGGATGACTGACTTCTTTCTAGTGGCATATAGCACAGCTGTAATAAGTGAATAGCTTGTTTGCTGTCATCTCTGCGTCCCCTTCCTCCCCGCCACGCCCCTTGTCACCAGCGTGCTCCGTCGGACTGACGGGTTCCCGATGCAGCATCTGATGCATAGCGGGCACTGGGCACGTGTCTATCGCGGGAATGAACTCACAAGGCACTGTCCTTGCCTTGGCCTCGTTTCAGTGATCACCAACACCTATAAGAACCCGAACCCTAAAGTTCTTCTAGAAGTCCTAGAACGTTAGCGCGGTAGTGTGTAGTGTGTGTTCGGATGATTTTTAAGGAAAAAGTCTTCCACCTGAGTGTATGTCATTAACATGTCTTTTTCCCTTTAAGAAAGGTAAGAAAAGATGTCCGAGTATATTCGGGTAACTGAAGATGAGAATGACGAGCCCATTGAAATACCATCAGAAGACGACGGGACAGTGCTGCTGTCCACGGTTACAGCCCAGTTTCCCGGCGCGTGTGGGCTGCGCTACCGGAATCCAGTGTCGCAGTGTATGAGAGGTGTCCGGCTGGTGGAGGGAATTCTGCATGCCCCCGATGCTGGCTGGGGGAACCTAGTGTATGTTGTCAACTATCCCAAAGGTTTGTTGCCATTTGCTTTTGCAATTCTAAACTGTGGTGTTTGTGTCTCCTCTGAGTTGGTGCAGCGCCTCATGTCACGGTGAAACCTCTCCTGTAACCCCAGTATTTATTTAAACTTTGCTAATAGACTGGTTTGGAACGTCTCTAGTCTAAATTAGTGAAAAGTGGAGATAGAGAATGTTTTTCTAAAGAGAAAGCTATGTATTTAATTATCTGGACAAATATGCCAAGTTAATGCTGAATTTAAAGAAAACTAAGACTGTTTTGTGAAGATGAGTCTTTTGTCAATAGATTCTTTCAAAGTGCCCCGATACTTAGTTCTGGTTTTTGTCCTTGCAAGCTTATATCATTGGTTCAGTTAATCTGATTTTTCCCTCCTTAAAGGATAATCAAGAGCAGGAATCCAAATCTTGAATTAGTGCACTTTTAATTTGGGGTTTTGGTCTTATTCTCATTGCCACTTAACACTGGTGTCCTAGATCTAAAAAAAAGCATTAAGTTTGTGGAGGAAACAGGTACATTTTGGTAGTAAGAATTTGCTTTAGTTACTTTTGCTGTGTTACTTTTATTATAACTCCGTGTTGCAAAAAGTATCCTGTTTGATTAGTATGCAAGACTTTGCCTTTCCCTTTGAGAACATTTTTAACAGTATCAAGTTAGTTTTTCTTTAGTATGCTGTTACCTGAATGTGAAATGTTGTTTAGATCCAGATAGGTCTGTGTGGGTTCATCAGTTGTAACAAATGTACGTCTTGGATGGGGCAGGAATATCACGATAATGGGGGAAGTTGTGCACCTGTGGAGGTAAAAGGGGAGGTGTGGGCGATCTCTGCCTTCCTTTCCACTTTGCTGTGGACTTAAAACTGCTCTAAAAAATAAAGTCTAGGGTTGCCTGGGGGGCTCAGTCTGTTGGGCGTCTGCCCTCAGCTCAAGTTGTGATCTCGGGGCCCTGGGATGGAGCCCAGCATCAGGCTTTCTGGTCAGTGGGGAGCCTGCTTCTCCCTCTCACTCTCCCACTGTGTGCATGTGCGTTCACTCTCTCTCAAAAAGAATAAATGAAAAATCTGTAGAATTAAAGATCGTCTATTTCTTAAAACTCATTCAGTTCTTCCACTTCCTTTCTGAATACTGTTTTTTAAAAATAACCCAAGACTTTCTTTTTTATTACAAAATCAACATGAGTTCATGGTTGAACGCTTAGAAAAGAAAGAAAAAGAAAATTGAAGTCGCCCTTGAATATACAGCTGGAGATAAAAGTTGGGTCGTTTTTTGGTATATAACTTTTTAAAGTTACAGGCATTAAAGTAGTTACGCAGCTCTAATAGGCACAAAGTGTAGCATGCCTTTTTAGCCTGTTGTTTTTCCCCTTACTATGTTTTTAGAGTCCGAGTGAAGTGGGATTATTTTTGTTTTGCTGTGCCTTTCGAGTGGGGAGAGCAAACCATCATAATCTTAAGACCACATAAAACCAGAGGTGCCTTCGCACCCGCAAAGCCCCTCAGCCGCTTCCCCAGTCCCTCCGTCCGGCTGTGAGAGCTGACGTCACTCTGCGAAAGTTTTCAATATCTTACGCTTAGAATCTTTTTGCTCATTGTTGTTAGGTGTAGGAGCCGATGTGTTTTAAGACATGTTAAGTGAGGAGTTCTGAAAGGTCTCTGCTCATTTTGTTTAGATAACAAAAGAAAAATGGATGAGACAGATGCTTCATCAGCAGTGAAAGTGAAAAGAGCTGTCCAGAAAACGTCTGATTTAATAGTGTTGGGTCTTCCATGGAAAACGACTGAACAGGATCTAAAAGAATATTTTAGTACCTTTGGAGAAGTTCTCATGGTTCAGGTAAACTTTGATTTCATAGAACGATTTCTCTCTTCCCATGAATGAACAGCCAGAATTCCTATAGTTTGGTGACCCTGCCTGCCCTTCGCGCCCAGCAGACAGTATTTTTGTGTTTATTACATGCATACATAAGGGAGGCCGAAAAGAAATACGGGTTGGGATGCCTGGGGGGCTCAGTGGGTAGAGTACACAACTCTTGATCTCCGGGTTGTGAGTTCAAGCCCCATGTTGGGCCTAGAGCCTCCTTAAACAAAAACCAAACTTGGGTTATACTGTTTCCCATTATGCATATAGCCTATATTTTTGCCTTTGATGTTATAAAATCCTCCTACATAAAAGGCTCAAGGGCCTGTTTTTCCTTTTTTTTAAGATTTTAATTTTTTGAGACAGAGCATGCGCAAGAGCGGGGGTAGGGGCAAGGGGAGAGGGAGAAGCAGACTCCCCACTGAGCAGGGAGCCCAATGCAGGGCTTGATACCACAACCCTGAGATTATAACCTGGGCTGAAGACAGGTGCTTAACTGAGTGAGCCACCCAGGTGCCCATAGCCTGTTTCTTTATAACTTACATTGCTGGGAGATCAAAAAGCACTTATTTTTAAAGGTGGGGGCACTTGGCTGGTTCATTTGGGGGAGCATGTGACTTGATCTCAGGGTTGTGAGATCTCAGGGTTGAGAGATTACTAAAATAAACTCTAAAAAGAAAAATACTTTTTTTCTGCTTTTCCCACTTAGGATTTGTAAATATTAGATCTAATATATATTTGCATTCTAAAACATTTTGTTAAAATTCTGTTTTGTGACATGATTAACTATTAACATGGTCTAGATTCAATGTTTATCCTCCTCTTTTTTACCTCAAGAATAACTTGGTCTGAGTTTTACTTTGTTTTATTTATTTATTTATTTATTTATTAAGATTTTATTTAGTCATTTGATAGGGAACACAAGCAGGGGGAGTGGGAGAGGAAGAAACAGGCCTCCCGCTGAGTAGGGAGCCCAACCTGGGGCTCAATTCCATCATGACCTGAGCTGAAGGCAGACACTTGAACGACATGGTTTAAATTTTAATTGAGCAACTCCCGTCAAAATGAATCCATTCAAATTACCAAGGAACTGATTTGGGGGGGGGGTCCTAGTTAATTTCATTGGTTTTGGGGGTTTTTTTTTCTCCCTAGGTCAAGAAGGATATTAAAACTGGTCATTCAAAGGGGTTTGGCTTTGTTCGTTTTACGGAATATGAAACCCAGGTTAAAGTAATGTCACAGCGGCATATGATAGACGGACGGTGGTGTGACTGTAAGCTTCCTAATTCTAAGGTACTTTGCTCTTTTTTTCCTGTGGTTTGGGACTTTTTGCTGACAAACTCCCTTAGAAGACATTGTAAAATGACACATAAAATGCACTTGGAAAAGGTGGTGGCTGGTGGATTCCTGAAACCTTCTGCCTTGTTAAAGCCTTAGTACCTGCATGTGTGCTGAATATTTTGTTTGTTTGAAATCTTTGGTTTATCATCCCTCTAAACTAAAAGTTTTTTGTTGTATTCTTTTTCTTGTTATTTTTAGTGAGTGAACAGTTTTCTTACGTAGATACACATTAAAACGCAAGGACGGTCAGAATACCTTAATCTTATCATGAAGGCCTGACTGGTTTCAGGCAAGCAGGACTGACTAGGACAGTCAGCGTCTTTGCCAGGGCATTTCTGTCATTGGCTTTCCTTAATCCAAATAGATAGTCGTGAACTTCAAACTTTAAAATGTGGGGACCACTGGCAGGCTCAGTTGGTAGAGTGTGTGACTCTTGATCTCAGAGTTGTGAATTCAAGCCCCGTGCTGGGTGCAGAGAAAACTTAAAAATTAGGTTTTTTAAAAAAATAAAATGTTTTTCCTCACCGAAGTTTTCAAAAGATGCGCTGGTGCAGAAAACTGAGAATGTACCTACTTCGTTAATGACTAAGAGAAAAGGCAGGTAACTTTTGTTAGATCCTCTTTTCTTGGCTCGTAGAATATTTCTCATAGTTTTCTTTTCTTTCGACTCGCCCAGCAAAGCCCGGACGAGCCTCTGAGAAGCAGGAAGGTGTTCGTCGGGCGCTGCACGGAGGACATGACCGCCGACGAGCTGCGCCAGTTCTTCTGCCAGTACGGGGAAGTGGTAGACGTCTTCATTCCCAAACCGTTCAGGGCCTTTGCCTTTGTTACGTTTGCAGACGATCAGGTATTTTTCTCTTTAATAATTTTGTCCCGACTCTGTTAGGTAATTGTCTTGAACTTCTCCCACGCCGCCAGTTGCCGTCCTTAGCTGAGCTACGGGATAGGTGGGTCTAGATGGTCATGATAAACCCTTGCGATACGTTTTCAGTGTGAGGCAGTTAACTCGGAGAGCTCTGTTTCTTGAGAGTAAGCGGACAGATCGCTGCTGCCTTCCCAGAGCTAAAGGCGGTTTTGTGGGTTTGAATGAAATGAGCGGTCGTTGCTTATTTGTCCGCCGGCTTAGACAGTGGCTTGAAATCTAAGTGTTATTGCTACCTTGATGCGTGAGTCAGTGGTTTAATCTCCCTTATCTCCGCCCCTTATTTCTTACAGGTTGCCCAGTCTCTTTGTGGAGAGGACTTGATCATTAAAGGAATCAGCGTGCACATATCCAATGCTGAACCTAAGCACAATAGCAATAGACAGTTAGAAAGAAGTGGAAGATTCGGTGGTAATCCAGGTGGCTTTGGGAATCAGGGTGGGTTTGGTAACAGTAGAGGGGGTGGGGCTGGCCTGGGGAACAATCAAGGAAGTAATATGGGCGGAGGGATGAACTTCGGTGCTTTCAGCATTAATCCAGCGATGATGGCTGCGGCCCAGGCAGCGCTGCAGAGCAGCTGGGGCATGATGGGCATGCTGGCCAGTCAGCAGAACCAGTCGGGCCCGTCGGGGAACAACCAAAGCCAAGGCAACATGCAGAGGGAGCCAAATCAGGCCTTTGGTTCTGGAAATAACTCCTATAGCGGTTCTAATTCCGGCGCAGCCATTGGTTGGGGATCCGCATCGAACGCGGGGTCGGGCAGCGGTTTTAATGGAGGGTTTGGCTCGAGCATGGATTCCAAGTCGTCTGGCTGGGGGATGTAGAGAGGGGGCGGTAGAGACTGGCGGGGATTGAGATTTTTCTAAACACATGGTAAGTATATTGTAAGATACACGCGTACTAAGAATCCTCAAAATTGCTTTGTCCAGTGTGGAGTATATTCAACAGTATTTTTGACAGTTTTCTTTAGAAAAAGAGGAAAAGCTAAAGGAATTTTATAAGTTTTGTTACATAAAGGGTTGAAATACTGAGTGTTTGGAAGTGAACTGCTGTTTGCCTGATGGGTAAAAACCAACGCACTACAGTTGATATCAAAAGGTTTCTCCTGTAATCTTTTATCCCTGCACTTGTCAAGCGAATTCTTTGCATGTTCAAATGGAAACCATTGGTCAGAACCACATTCTTTCCTCCTTGTTTTAATTTGAACCCCGCCGTATGGATTTTTCCCTTAGCAAAGTCTCCTTCTTGGAGACGATGGTGTCACAGTGTTTGGTTCTTTCTGGTTTTGTTCTTGTTTTTTTAACACTTGTTTCCCTTCACATGCAAAAGTACAATATGAAGCCTTCATTTAATCTCTGCAGTTCATCTCATTTCAAATGTTTATGGAAGAAGCACTTCATTGAAAGTAGTGCTGTAAATGTTCCACCACAGGAATGCTTCTGTCTGCACGCTTCCTCACTCAAGAACTCGTCAGCACGCTGCGCAGGCTGCGTCTTTGACGGTGGGTGTCCCATTTTTATCCGCTACTCTTTATTTCATGGAGTCGTATCAACGCTATGAACGCAAGGCTGTGATATGGATCCAGAAGGCTGTTTGAACTTTTGAAACCTTGTGTGGGATTGATGGTGGTGCCGAGGCATGAAAGGCTAGTATGAGCGAGAAAAGGAGAGAGCGCGTGCAGAGACTTGGTGGTGCATAATGGATATTTTTTAACTTGGCGAGATGTGTCTCTCAATCCTGTGGCTTTGGTGAGAGAGTGTGCAGAGAGCAATGATAGCAAATAATGTACGAATGTTTTTTGCATTCAAAGGACATCCACATCTGTTGGAAGACTAAGTGAGTTTTGTTCCTAGATGACCCACGTTAGCTGAATGTGTTAAGTGAAACGATTACTTGTACTTCCCCCACCCCTTTGTCAACTGCTGTGAATGCTGTATGGTGTGTGTTCTCTTCTGTTACTGATCTGTAAGTGTGGTCACGTGAACTGAAGCTGGTGGGGTGAGAACATGGACGAGCTTGTGGCGTGCTTTGCAGGAGTACTTGGAAGCAGAGTTCACCAGTGAGCTCGGGGTGTCGCAGAGAAGGGTGGAAGTTCTCATGTCTGTTAGCTACCCATAAGAATGCTGTTTGATGCAGTTTTGTGTCCTGTGCTTGGATGCTTTTTATAAGAGTTGTCAATGTTGGAAATTCTTAAATAAAACTGATTTAAATAATATGTGTCTTTGTTTTGCAGCCCTGAATGCAAAGAATTCATAGCAGTTAATTCCCCTTTTTTGACCCTTTTGAGATGGAACTTTCATAAAGTTTCTTGGCAATAGTTTATTTTGCTTCAAATAAACTTATTTGAAAAGTTGTCTCAAGTCAAATGGATTCATCACCTGTCATGCATTGACACCTGATACCCAGACTTAATTGCTATTTGTTCTTGCATTGTCCAAAGTGAAAGTTTTTTTTTGTTGTTTTTTTTGTTGTTGTTTTTTGTTTTTGTTTTTTTCTTTTTAAATCTAGTTTTTAATAAGTCTGGGTGACCGCACCTAAAATGGTAAGCAGTACCCTCCGGCTTTTTACTAGTGCCTCTGTGCATTTGGGTGATGTTCTATTTACATGGCCTGTATAAATCTCCATTGGGACTCAATGCCTTCTAAAAATATTCTTATTTGGGGGAGTGGGAAGAACTCTGTTAATTATTTTCAAGTGCTTTGTAGCAAAGCATAGCAGTCGAAAAGAAGGGCATATCAGCACCTTCCTAGTTTGGGATTTGAAAAGTGGAATTAATTGCAGTAGGGATAAAGTAGAAGAAACCACAAATTATCTTGTGCCTGAAATCCATTATAGAGCCTGATAGCTTTAAGAACTAGCAGGGTGGGTTGTCTGTCTGGAAGTGTTAAGTGAAATGGGCTTTGTACCCCACAAGTGGGGGACTAGAGTAAGGTTGAATAAAATCGTTTACAAACTCAGATTAGACTCTCACGATGCATTGTGAAGTATGTAAAAGCAATAATTACGGATTCTCTGTTGTACTTTTTATGTAACTGCAGTGAGAGTTGAGCTTGCTTTCTGATGGAAGAGTGTGAACGGTTTTGTGTTGGTAGTTTTACCTGATGCCCGTATCTGGTCAGATTATGATAAATAGGTTTGTCATTTTGAAGTTCCGTGTTTGAAACTTTTAGAAATGAAGTCGTCCTTTAGACTTGTGATCGCCACGTTGTTTCGTTATTCAGTTTCCTCTGTAAAAGGATCTTGCATTGTTTGAATTTTTTTTTCTGCATCTAAATTGCATGATTTCCAAACCCTGTACCATCTGAATTTTGCATTTTAGCACTTGCACTATTACTCAGCAGCAGTAACATGGTAACACTTAAAATGGTATTCGGGGACCTCCAAAGACTAAACTGTCAAGCCTGCAAGGAGCCCAGGGGTAAGTTCACTTGTCGATGGCATGGTTTTGATCCCTTATTTACACTTGTTGTCAATCTAGTTACCAGTCTTAGAAGGCTCTCGATGTGGACCAGCCTTCTGCTAACATGTTTGTGGTACCAGGAGCTGTGGGTATTTAATTCTACCCTAGAAAAAAGAGAAAGAAAACGAAGTCTAGAAGTAAACTATTTGACAAAGATTTGTTTTTAAAAGTCTGTTTGGTCAACTCAGTGCGTTAATTCTCAAAACTTTTTGAACCAGTTGAATAAAAAATTTGTTGTCACCACAGTTTAGTGTCTGGAGTCTTACTGGAAAAATAGTTTCTTTTTTATATGTGACAAAGGCGATGGAAAGTTGCCGTTCAAAAGTGAGTCTCAAGAAGGTCCCCCTTTAATGAGCACCAGAGAAATTGGGCCAAAAGTCAACAGTGAATTTTTACACGAGTGGTAGTTATTTGGCTAGAATGAACCCCTTTGTTAAATGTTAACCTATTAGAACTTCTTAAGGAGGAACAGCCAGTGAAAACGACCTTAGCTCTTTAAGGTTAAATCGGCTTAAATTGTGTCCTTTGGAAAAAGAAGATGTACATGATAATTAGAATAATTTGTTGTTGAGTACTAGGTGAGTAGCTCTTAACGGTGTATGAGTTCTATACTTAGCTATTGTATGGTATGTGATCTGTTGTTTGTTAAGCGTGCCCAAGTATTTCCATGTTCATTGTAAGAAGGAAAAAAACCAACTGTAGATTTATCTGTTAAACCACCACTTAATTCTGACGTATTTCTTCTTAAGAAGATGCCACATTTGATTCAGCTCTTTTCTATATGTGAATATTATTCAGGTTATTTCCAAGTGCCAGAACATCCTCACAGCTAAATTAAATTCTTAACATTGGAATTACTAGGTCAAAGACTATATGCATGCTGTCAGGGCTTTTCAGATATTTCCAAATTGTCCTTTAGAAAATGTATATTGTCTTCAACAGTGTGAAATAGTGCTATTCCATGTTCCTTTTTGTCTGCCAATTTGATAAGTGAAAAATTCTATCTCACCATTTGTGCTATTGGTTTTTAAACATGGGAGTCAGTCAGCACCTAAGCCAAAGTATCCATGTGTCCAGTTTATTTACAAAAAAAAAAAAAATCATGATTCAAGGCTATCCGTGAACCAGCTTTGCTATAATATATAAAGTTCTGTTAGAAATCAATAAGAACAAGCCCCCAAACGGAAAATTAGAGAACATGAACAGGCAATCTGTAGAAATGTAGAGAAACAGTACAAAAGATACTGGACTTGTAAGTAATTAAATGCATATTTAGCCAGTGAGTTTCTGTTGGATTGGCAAAGGTGATCCCGCCTAATCATCTGTGTCCCCTTGAGTCAAAGAGTAAGGGGTGAAAAACTGACGAGTGGGAAGGGCGGGCTGATTCGTGGTGTGGCAGTGGTTTGGGGTTAGAGCGACAACTGCCAAGTTCGTGGCTCTCAGGCCACATGGCTACTAAGAGCTTTTGCAGGGATTTTTAAAACTAAGGAATCGTTGAAGACCTACAAATTAAAAATTACTAATTATGTCCTTGATCCAGGGAATGTAGTTAATAACTTTGGTGTAGACTCCATATTGATTTGCTTCCCCACAATTGGTGGAACCCCAGGACACTATTCCTCCCACAAACCATCTCTGTGTCTCATTATCCAGAAACACTAGCGCCCCCCCACTGTCCCCTCTGCAGCTGTCCTTGCCCCCGCCGTCTAAGCCAGCGCAGAGCATGTTCTCTGTCACCCTCCCCCCCGGAAAGGCCAGCTTCTCGTACGCGGCGGTGCATTTCTGACGGTCGACAATTGGTATGTCAACAAACATTAGATTTCTGGCAAGAAAACCCCTCTGGGTTAACCCCCATCCTGATGCAGTTCCAACGTCCTCTGTCCTCATGAAGGATTCGGCCTCCTTTCCTGGCAAGCAGATAGGCAGGATGTTGCTGTTGATTGCAACTCTGTTCTTCAGTTTAATCAGTGCTATGTCGTTATCGAAGCCAGCGCCATGAGTATAACCTTCATGTATAAAAATGGCCTCAGCCCAGGCTTGTGTGTAATGAGGCGACAGTCTCTTCAGGGTACCCAGTCTGATGTCCAAGGAGGAGGCCGCTTCCTTCTGCGCGTACACCGCGTGCGCCGCCGTTAGGATCCAGCTGTCCCGCAGGAGCGCGCCCGCTGCCGTGGTCTGGCCTAGTACCAGCACTTGCCAGGGGAAGTCCCCGAGCTGTGCCTTCTGCCCTCCGTATATTCGACCTCCCGTGGTACGAGTTGAGACTCCACACACTGGGGAAAGAAGCAGACACAGCCTTTACAGAGACCCAGTGGTGGGTTTTCCCATGGCTGTTACCACTTCGGAATGTGTGATGTCCTCCAAAAGTCGGGGTAGTTGGGCTTCCACCCAAGCCAGCAGGGGCTTTTAAAACACAGTTCGGAGACCCAGTAAAACCTCTTGGCATTAGCTCTTCAGAGAATGAGGGGAGAGGAGCTTTAACTTTTAGAAACTGATTTGTTCGGCTGAAATAATTTGGCCTACACAATTTGGAAGATCACTTAATAGGGCAAACAAATTGAGCTGATGTAGTGGGTGATGGGATCAGAAAGTGAAAGGAAATGACCTTTTCGTTGCTGCTTTTTTCCTACTCGGATGATGGGGTGTTTACCATGTAGTGCTGGGAAAGCAGGAACTAAGGTCACTGTCCCAGGTTTGCAAAATTCTTTTCACCTTTGAACATTTAAGTGTTCTAAAAATCAGAAAGTTGCAGTTGTAGCCAGGAACCTTCAGGAACAGAAATTACTATTTTTGGTCTAGTTGATTCTTCCAAACTAAATTTTATTCTCTATGGCTAACTGTATATGCTCATTAACGTAGCGACTGTGTTCCCTGTTGTGGCAGAGTACTGGCTTTAAAACCTACGAATGTTGTGTCAGCTAAGATGTAGGGGTTGTTTTTTTGTTTTTGTTTTTGTTTTTGTTTTTTTTTAACCAATTTAAGCCAAATAACAAAGGGGTAATGAATATATTACTTCCTTTCTGATTTTTTAAATCACTGTACTCAACCATATCAGAGCCAATTCTGGTAAAAAAAAAAAAAGTCCTATTTAAAAGGCAAATTGCATTAATGTTTAAAAACTAGATGTCATTGAAAACAATTGCTTAGGGAAATAATGAAGTTATTAGCTTTGGGTTTTAATAGCAGTTTTACAGGGAAGAAAAGTAACTCCACAGCAGAACTCGAGTTTATAAATGTATAAATGCTTCAAGATAATTTTTAAAATCATTTAATTTTTTACGCTTGCCTAGTTGTAAGGTCAGAAATAACCAAGTGACTGATGCAGTCAGCACCCAGCAACCTCTCCGTCCGTCCAGAAGGGGGATAATGAGAACGTATTATTTGGAAATAACCACTTGGTTTAAGAGCCAAGTGCTGAAGCTGCAATTCAGCCGACCACAGCTAAAGCTCTGCTGATTGTCTCCCACCCAGTTCTACTTTCCATCAATTACGAATCTCTTGTATAAATGTATCCATTACCAGGCTCACAGACGGGGAGTGATTTTTCTCCTTTGGAGCTCGTCCAGAATCCATCAGCCTCACACACGTATTTACCTGCAAATCATTGGAAAAGCAAAAATGTTGAACTGCATGTATAAGGTGGTTGTCATTTGCTTGAATACCCCCTTGAAAAATGTTGATTCTTGAGCATCAGTGGGAAAGAGAGGTGTCTAACCGTTTTACATGATTTCATAAATAGGAGGTCTCTGCATTAACCATGTTTGCTTGCAAAGTGGAAACCTTTTAGATGTGTAACTTGAATATGTATCAAGATCTCAAGTGCTTAATGATAAGGTTTTGACTTGTTAAATTAAACCATTTGGAATATATTGTGTGTTTGTAGTAGTCATTTACTAGATAAGATCTGTTTTCAGATTCCTGCAAATTGACATTAAAGTCACTTCAGCTGTAATATTTCACTTAGCGGGCGGGAGAAGTGCCTTTTAATCTTTTGTGTAGCCTTAGCCAAAAATGTCGGCTCAAGTTTATTTTCAGATCGCGAGGGAGGGCTTCTTTTCCAGACAGCACACACCCCCAACTTTGCAGAGTCTGCTCACCGTCGTTAGGGGTCATTGTGTAGAAGACCTCGTTACAGTGGTACTGAATCACGGCTCTGTACGTGGTCACTTCGGGGCCTGTGATGTACTGCACTCGGCCCGTGGGCAGGTCATCAGGAGGGCCACAGTCAACAACTAGGAAACACGGGAGGAGGAGGAGTCCGGGTGTACGGACGGTAAGAAGACGAGACCCACAGGTGGTTGTGCTGCGGTGCTGTGGCTCCAAGCCGTATCCGTGTCTCTCCCCTCCCCATGTCCTCCCCCGCCCCCCCGACCACCACCACCACCACCACCACCGGGATGGACATCCTCCATCTCTCTCAAAAGGGAGGGAATCGCCTTAGTGTGATTTAAAAGCCTCACCCTCCTGCCTGTTCCGGACTAAACGGCTAGAGTGAGGTGAGGCCCCTGGGTCGGAGCCCTGCGATTCCCTTCACAAAGGAAGGGAATTTGAAACCACTGGACTCCTCAGTGCCCTGACTTCCTATTTTTAAAGATTTCATTTATTTGAGAGCACAAGCAGCAGGGAGTGGGAGAAGCAGGGAGCCGGATGTAGGAATCAGTCCTGGGACCCTGGGGTCATGACCACAGCTGAAGGCAGATAGTTAACGGGCTGAGCCACACAGGTGCCCAGCACCTGACTTTGAACCTCAGGGTCTGTCTCAGAGCAGCTGCCGGCCCAGCCTGCATGGGCCTGCCCGGGCTGGGTCCCGGAAAGTGGTCCTCGGTTTGCAGTTCGGTTGGCCTTAAAGGTCAAAGAACCATACAAAGAACGACCTGGCTTCTTGAGCTCCTTTTCATCAATGTGTAGGAGACCCGCAAGTCATAATACCTGGACTTTGCATCAGAATGCACACCTGTGTGAGGCCAGAACGTGTGAAACACCTGCCCAGTTTGGAGCCCAAGTGACTGAGTCTAGAAGTCCTGCTTCCCACAGTAGAGCTAAAACAACCAATGGATTTCTCTGGGTATTTTAAAAGGTTACATTTAAGTAGTTTTCAGCGAACTTATAGCTGTGTGCTTGGTTCCGTGGCAAGAGTTTTGTCCACCTCTCTGTAGAGGAGGTGCCCACACCTACCTCACCCCAAGTGAGGTTCAGATCCAGACCTCTCACTCCCAGCTCTACTGCTTTCGAACTGAGGATTGACAGTCTCACTGGTGGGAACGTAAACTTAGGAAACGATATTTAACTTCCCCAGGAATTCTGTAGAAACCTTTGCACAAAGTATGTGCAAATACATTTACAGGAGTGTTCACTGCAGCGGTGTGTGTGACAGTGAAAATCTGGGAGACGGCGGTGGGCGCGACGTGCTGTCCTTAACAAGGATGAGCGAGCGGCTCTGCTAATACTCAGACTGCTGTGGAGAGAGATCCCGACGAGACGGAGGCAAAAAGCACAGTGCCGTCAGACTTAGCATCCCATTTTGGTTAAAAAGTATGGAATAGTCTGTTAAGTGTCTGCCTTTGGCTCAGGTCATGATCCCAGGGTCCTGGGATGGAGCCCCACGAGGCAGGGGCGGGGTAAGGGGCTGCTCCGCTCTCCCCCAGCTTGTGCTCTCTTTGTGTCTAATGAATAAATTTTTTAAAAATCTTAAAAATAAATTTTAGAAAAGTATATAATGGTGAAATAGTGTATACAGCACAGGAATGAAGGAAAGGGCCCTGAACCCTCAGTGGTAGCTTGGGGATTTGGGCAAGAGAGGGGGGGTCTCACTATGCTTTTGTAAATTTACTTTTTCTAATTAACATGTATTTTATAATTGAAAAAATATTTAAAATAAGATGTGATGCTTGCAAAATGGCAATGTACCCCCTCACCGCAGTCTCGTGTGGAGTGTTCACACACAGCTACACCCATCCCTCCAGATGGTGTTTACGCACATGTGAGACAGGTGTGTGATGGGAGGGATATGAGGACAGTGGGATTATGGGTATTAAAATGTTTCGTTCTCTCTTTCCCATCCTCAGTGAATATTTTACACTTGGAAAAATATTTTTAAAAGATCACACTCTTCCAAAGGAAATAATTTTGCTGGTAGCTCGGTTCCATTTTGACCCCATTAAATGCACGGAGAAGCTGGGGAAGAGAAGCAGATTTGGAGTTCAAGCCCTGCTAAGGAGAACCGCTTCAGAAGCAGCACTCCAGGCAAAGCTGCAGAAGCGGTCCCAGGACCTGTGGTCACGTGGCCTTACTGCTGCACGTGGGCATCGGCTGGTCCCAAGATCCATCTTTCTGACAGACCGCAGCAAAGGATTTCAGGGGCAAAGCACCCTAAAGAAGAATTCAGCAAATATTACTTACCTGGTTTACATCAGGACACCACACCCCAAGGCTGTGCTCCTACAGCGGTTCCTCTGGGTGGGGGTGGGTGCCCGGAGCGGGATGCCACACCCACGTTGACAGGACACATCCCAACAGCTCTGAGGGATTTGTCGCCTATGGGATAGCTCTCCTCTTTTAAGATGCATTTGGCACCGCAGGAATCCCGTGTGCGCCTCTGCCGTAGCTTAGGAATATGTCTTGCTTTCTCTTTAAGGCCAAGAACACGTCCGATCTCACAGGTTCCTGCCGATTTGCCACCAGTTCTTTATGTAAAGTGCCAAAAGGGGGTGGTGGGAATCTGGGTAAGACCAACCCGCTCCGACAGGGAGCCTGTGGGCCTGGATTTTTCTAGCCTGGGGCCGTAAACCACAGGCCGGTTATTAACAGCACTTTGATAGGTTTCACATGTGTGCTCTCAGTTTTTATCGCTAGTGGTGTTTGCAGAGAAATATTTTTCTAAAGTTTATGAAAGATCACTTTGGCGGAAAGAAGCCTTTATGCTCCCAAGGAGAGCAGGATGATTTTTTTCTGCCCCAGATCAGAAACAGAGGTTTGCAGTCCCGGGAGCTGGGGAAAGAGCCTGCCTAGGGAATTTTGCAAGGTGGGGAAAGTGCCTTTTTTTTTTTTTTTTTTTTTTTTTTTGATTTGTCCCTCCACAGGACTGGATTGAATAGCTAGCTATCATTTCAACGTTATTACTTTTTACCGCTGGGATTCAGTGACAATTTTGAAGAACATAAAGAGGACGTGTTAATCTCTTACCTGTGCCCCTAAAGCAACACACGAAGCATTTTTAAAAATTACCCTCCCTCTCCCTTAACAGAGGTCACTATTTATAACTTTGCAGAATATACTCTTTCCCGGGGCCGTTTAATTTTGTTGTGGGCCCAGGAGTGGTGGCCGGGAAAGGTCATCACGTGGCCAGGCGGACGGGCCTGATCTAATGCAAGCGCGGTCTCGCAGAGCAGGTGGCACGAGGATGGCAAATGCATCCTTCGCTTGTTTCAGCCGCTTTTCGAGAGCTGCTGTGATGTGTGAACAGGGAAAAGCCCATTTGAATCACCAGCTTCCAGTCAAAAGCCTTTTCAAAGCTTTTTAAAAATTTTTTATTTTTAAATTTCTTTTCAGTGTTCCTTTCAAGCTTTTTGTTTAAAGGCACGATTCTTAAGAAAAAAAATTCTCCATAGCCATCTCTCTTCTCCACCGAATTTGCTTTGCTTTGTTCAGTCACAGCCAAAAGAAACCAGCGTGCTGACTCCAGCTCTTTCCCCACTTTCGCATATAAATTCTTTGCTGATAGCACTACGTACGCGCATCAGACCGACCGCGGTCCTGCCGTACTCACGGGGCTGTAATGAACTTACTTGGAGAAGCTCGTAGCCGGTCTCGCAGAAGACGGCGAAGCGGTCCTTCAGGATGTACTCGGCTTGCACCGGCGCGATGTGGCCATTAGGTGGCGCCACGGGACCAGGGCAGGGCTGAGCTGTTGCGGGCGGGGCGGAGAGGGAGGCCGGGCTGAGCGAGGGGTTTTGACGCTGTCTCCAGCCGGCCGCTCTGAATTCAGCCACTGAAAGGTCCTGATTTACGCACGGAACCCTTAACACAGGGGAAGAGCTCGCCGCAAGTCGGATGGAGTTGCTCAGATTTAAAACCAAAGGCAAGATTGCACTGGGTCGCTTATTGCACAAATTAGGGTTTGTAGCCGGGCCTGGGTCTCAGCCGAAGTTCCCAGAAAGGCAGGCACGAGCGGCCTGAAAGGAGCCAGAGCGGCCCCCACACCCTGCAGGGCAGCGTCTGCTCTGCGCTGCCGCAAACCAAGCTACAGCGTCCGCTGGAGGAGGAGAGCTAGACCGCATTCCCAGCGGTTATTTTCAACTCTCTGTGCCTGTTTCCTCACCGGTAAGATGGGGAGGTGAGAAGAGCCACTCACCCTCCAGGGCCGTCCGAACACCAGATGTAAAGCACTTGGCTGGTGCTTGGCTGAGCGCTGGACAAGAGTGGGCACAGGTGACCCCGCCCACAACAGCCCTGTGGCACGGCCTTAGGCCTCGAGGGAGACTGCCCTCCACTCCGGCCCCCAAACCCTGGCCTGACGTCACCCCAAGCCTTCAGCCCACCCCCAACTGCTACCACTCAGCCTGCGCCAGTCTCCTGCTGAGTCCCCTTCTCCCTCCAGGTGCTGGGCTCTGTGTCCCAGGGCAGCTCTCAGTCCCTGCAGGCCCAAAGACCCCACCTCCAGGGAAAGCCCTGGCCGCTGGCTGGCACCCTCCCTCCTTCGCACAAGCCTCTACGTTCTGGCCTGGCCCTGCCCCCACCAGCCTGGAAGACCTGAGACCCCCTTTGAGTGGCTCTAAAACCAGCACTTCAGTTGCACAAGTTTTATTACTTTGACCTACAGGAAAATGAAAGACTTTCAAAAATGAAAGCGCTAGGCTCCGTCCTCCCAACCAGTCTTGCCCCTTCCCACCTTTCTAACAGAGGTGGCCCAAGGCTTAATCTTTTCTAATCCAATTTTTTAATTTAAAAAACTACCCCAGTCTCTATAATCCAATTACCACTCCCGCTATGCCACACCCTGCACCCAATGCTTTCCCTACATTAGCCCATGAATGGACACCTTTTGAAGGAGACATTGTCCTTAATTGAAATAATTGGGACATTAAGGTTCAGAAAAGTTATGTGAGAGGTTCAGTGACACATAGCCGGGAAACAGGTTTGTGCCTGGGCATAAACCTAGGCAGTCCAACATTCAAACCTGAGCTCTGAGTTTCCTGGATAGATGGTTGGATGGATGGATGGATGGATGGGTGGATGGTTGGATGGATGGTTGAATAAGTGGGTGGATGGATGGGTGGGTGGATGGGTGGAAAGAAGGAAGGAAGGGTGGGAGGAAGGATGGATGGATGAAAGGATAGATGGAAGGATGGATGGATGGAAGGAAGGAAGGATGGATGGATGGAAGGAAGGATGGGTAGAAGGATGGAAGGAAGGAAAGAAGGGAGGGAGGAAAGGTGGGTTTTGGAAGGAAGAAAGGATGGATAGAAGGAAGGAAAGATGGATGGAAGGAAGGAAGGTTGGATGAATGGATAGATGGAAGGATGGATGGAAGAAAGGATGGATGGATGGATGGATGGATGGAAAGAAGAAGGAAGCCAAGGCAGGAGAAGTAGGGAGATAGGCTCTTCCCCTAGGAGAAGGTGATCTTACCTAGAACAATCTTTCCTTTTGTTTATTATCTTTCTTGTCCCACCTTCCTTCCATGAAAACCCTCCATTTTGTACAACTCCCTTCAGAGCTCCCCTCCACCTGTAGATGGGATGCTGCCCAATTAATGAATCATTTAATAAAGCAGATTAGATCTTCAAATTTACTCAGTGGGATTTTGTTTCTGATGGATGGATATGAAGGGTGGGAGAATATGGCCCTCCAGAATATGCTTCTTTGGCATGCCGATTATTTTGAGCTGATTATTTTCAGAAATAGCAGACAAAAGGGGCGCCTGGGTGGCTCAGTGGGTTAAAGCCTCTGCCTCCGGCTCAGGTCATGATCCCATGGTTCTGGGATGGAGCCCAACATCAGGCTTTCTGCTTGGCAGGGAGCCTGCTTCCACCTCTCTCTCTGCCTGCCTCTCTGCCTACTTGTGATCTCTGTCTGTCAAATAAGTAAATAAAATCTTAAAAAAAAAAAAAAAGAAATAGCAGACAAAGGAGAAGCTCTGAAAACAGAGTAGAAGTTTTCCTTCTGTAAGAGAACTTTATATTCACAAAAGAAATGTCCATTAAGAGTGTCTCCCTCTCTGTTCCAGGAGAAGGACAATTAAATCACTAGAAACTCGTCCCTGGAGAAGGCATGTCTTTTATCTGTGTAACAAACCTTATTTTGTTTACCGTAGTTTTCTCAGCACCTCCCCATACTGCCTTCCCCCAGGCCCTCCTCTCTTTTGTATTTAACTGAAGATGGTACTGATGTCTTGAGTTCTAAGTTCCCATTCTCCCGTGGGTAATCTCCCATGCATGCATGAGACATACACCTTAAAAAACGTGCTTGTTTTTCTCCTGTCAATCTGTCTCTTGGTCCTAGCCAAGGATTGAGGAGGGCTGAGGGAAAATTGTTTTTTCCTCTCCTACAGATGGAAGGAGGGCTGGTTGAGTGGATGGGTACATGGAAGAAGGGAGGGAGGGAGGGAAGGAGGGGTAAAGAGAGGGATAGGGATGGGTGGGGTGGCATTTCCCCTTGGGGACCACTGTCTCACAGACCACCCCCACTCCAACCTCATTTGTCTTTTGAAGGAGTTCAGGACACATGACCCCTAAATATGGCACCTGGCATGTTGAATATTTTAAGCTGAAAGAGTCTGAGAAAACAGAAACAAGGGGTCCCTTGGACCTCCACCCCCTCCCTCACCCTTCTTCCCCATCACAGTCAGAAGACCCTCGTGTACGGCCACGTGACAGGTGCCCTCCCTATACCTGGAGGGAAGGAGCATCCTTGTCTCCAAAGACAAAGGGAGCCAAGAAGAAGCCAAAGAAAGAGGCTTTGCTAAGTTTCCCCCATTTACAACACTTGCTTTAACCTGTCATTTTCCCCCATGACTGTATCCTCTTCTGCAAAACCCCCACACAAGCCTAACTGTTCCTCTGGGTCTTTCCTTCCTTTTGAAGTCTCCCATGCCATGTAGACCTCACATTACGTAAGTGTGAATGATTTTCTCCTGTTGTTTTTTCTGTGTGTGTGTGTGTGTGTGTGTGTATGTTGTTGTTGTTTTTTTTTTTAAGATTTTATTTATTTATTTGACAGATGGAGATTGTAAGTAGGCAGAGAGGAAGGCAGAGAGAGAGGGAGGGAAGCACGCTCCCTGCCGAGCAGAGATCCTGATGCGGGGCTCGATCCCAGGACTCTGGGATCATGACTTGAGCAGAAGGCAGAGGCTTTAACCCACTGAGCAACCTAGGCACCCCTGATTTTTTATGTTGATCTGTCTTTGTCAGTTTACTTTTCAGCCTCGGCCAGGAATCCTAGAGGGCTGAGGAAATTTTCTCCTCCCCTACACTTCCCAGGCCTTGCCAGGAAGAGTCCCATCCTATGTAACTCCTTGGCACTCCAGGAAGAGCTTCTTGTCAGGATCCAAGACCCACTCGCCCTCACCTGTGCTGGTGTAGTGGATCTTCCAGCCTGTGTGGTCCCCCGACTCATCAGTGACAAAGATGATGGTCACGGCATTGCTTTTAGTTTCAATCCTAGGGGGCAACGCTGTCCCACAAAATGGGCCATATTCCTTCTTGTCTGTTTGAATCTGAAAGCAGAAGGCGCCCTGTCACCTCAGGACCTGACAGAGCCAGAGGAGGTCTAGACCCCAGGAACCGGACCTTGAGGGAATCGTAGGGGCACTGGGTGTCCGGGTGCGTCTCCACATCAAAGGACCCCACAAAGTCCAGGATGATGCTGAACCCTTCCTCCAGGTGGATGCCGTAGGAGCAACTTGAGAGTTTGGGGTACGGTTGTGGGTATTCAGGGCTGCTGAGCACCCCCGACCTGTCGGCGAAGACCTGACCTGAACACAGGGCTAAGAGAGGATGGTCACTGTGAGAGGGGACCCAGCAGCCGGGCTCCGCCCCCTGGCTGCCCTCACTGCCCTCTGGCCCAGTCAGATGGAACACCCCCCCTCAGGGCTGAAGGAACAATCTGGAGTTTCTAGGGCTTCCTGGCTTTGACTGAAACGGGTGGCGCTTGGGCACACGGCCTCCAGGCCCCACCCACACTCCCAGGGGCTCCTGAACCTGGGGAGTCCTGGGCCAGAGTCAGGACTCTGGGGCTGACGAAGCGAAGGTTAGATTCTGCCGAGGGGGAAGGAGACAAGGGGGTCCCTCAGCCAGCCCAGACCCCGACAACTCCCACATTCACCCACCACGGGGCTCCCACCCACACCAGCTGGGAGCAGTCCGGCCTTCCCTGGGTCCCCACGGGGAACAGAGGTGCCTCCCTTGGTCCACTTTCCCTCGTGCCCTGGGTCTGGGCACTGCCCTGGGGGTTAGTTGAGGGAAATTCAAGTTCACACTTATCAAAAGCATGTCTGGTGCCCTCTTTCCCCGCCAGGCCAGCTGGTCGTGCCCTTGCAGAGCGAGCTTCCGCATCAGCCCCGGGAGGCACCGGCCCATCCCCTCCCCAGACTGCAGAAGGCATTTGAGCTGGGAGGCTTCCAGAAGTGAGGGGTCCCAGCACAGCCTGCCTTCCTCCGTGCGCTGTTCCCCACGGGGCAGAGGGAATGGCCCCCAGATGTGGGGGGCCATCGTGCCCATCTCCCTGGGCCTCTCTGCTCTGGGTCAGGCTCCTCCAGCCCAGCACACCTGGGACATGAGTGGTCCCCTTAACAGGAGCTGTCCAAGGATGCTCCCAGCTCAGCCCCTGGGGAGCCGGTGGGGGAGTGAGAGAGTCTCCCTGTGTGAACCCGGCCAAGCCCTCGTCCCTCTCTGGGCCTCAGTGCCCCATCTTCAGAATGGATGGGGGGTGGTGGGCAAGCCTTTTTGGCAAATGGGCCAGTGGCCCCATGGAGGGTGTTCCCACCGGCTAGGGTTCATCCGGGCTGTGATGAGGGGAGGGAGGGAGGGGAGGAGGCCAGGGGGCATATCGCTGCCCTCCCCCCACCGTGCCACCCAAGAGACACGAAACAGTAGGTGGAGGTGGAGGCAGATTTATTGTTAGGTCCACGGAGGGTCGGATGGGGTGGACCGGGGGTGGCAGGCAGTGGCCGTCTCGGCCTGACACAGACCGGAGCCAGAGATGAGGCTAGGGGCTCTGCTCTGGAAGAGAGGACAGAGAGACAGGGAGAGCCACTGGGGGAGAGACACCAGGCAGGGGGAGGCAGGGGCAGCACTGAGCCTTGGGGCTGCGCACTCCCCAGGGCACCCTTGGGTTTCCCATCTGGGTACTTGGCACCTGGCAGGAGCTCGGAGGAGGCGGGAAGTAGAGGCCAAAGGGGTCTGCCTGCTGGGGATCCAGCCACTCTGAGCACGCCCTGCCCCCTACCGGGAAGTTTCATGCAGGGAAGCCTGTGTTAGCCGGGCCTGTGTTCCCCGTTCCTCCAACCTGGGAGCCCCAGGAGGGCAAGATGCCTGTAGCAGGCGCCCAGAGCCCAGACAGGGAGGTACATAGTGGGAGCCCAGCACAGGTGATCCAAGTGATGGGCTGAAGACCAGAGAGGGAGCCCAGGATGGAACGGGGGAGGGGGAGGGAGTATGGATGTGCATGGATGGACAGATGGCCCAGTAGGCCAAGGGCCGTCCCTCCCATCCCTGGGCAGAGCACTTACGGCTTTTAGGAGCTGGCTGTATTCTGGGCCAGGGGGGTGCTGGGCTGGGCACGGTGTCTGCCCCATACCTTCCCTGGCCCCGCTCACCTGAGCAGGTGCGCTTGTTCTCGTGGAGGACGTAGCCCCAGCGGCAGGAGCAGTAGAAGCCACCCAGGTGGTTGTGGCAGTGGTGGTCGCAGGGAGCAGCCTGTCCTGGGGCCACCTGGCACTCGTCAATGTCTGGGGGAGGGGCAGGTCAGGCAGGTGGTCAGAGGGCAGGAGACGAGGCGGTCTGGGGGCCTGGGAGCTGACAGCCTCGAGGCTGACCCAAGAGGAGCCCCATGTTTGGAGGTGGCTGGGGCCTGGCCGAGTATTGGACAGGCCTAGGGTCATGATAACGTCCTCAGAACGCCTGGAGGTAGATGTCACTACCCCCTTTTCCGAACGAGTGATGGGTTAAGTGTCCTGCTCAAAGTTAGCCGGCTGGTGCAGCCAGCTGTCGAACCCAACAAGCAGGTCTGTGACCCATGTTCCAGCAAATCCTGCTGCTGACTCCTGAGGAGCACAGAGAGGTGCGGCCACCTGCCCAAGGTCACACAGCTGGTCCCTGCAGGAACCCCTATCTGACATCAAGTGTTCCACTCGAAGCCCGTGTATGGGGAGCACCACTCATGGGGAGCACTACACATGGGGAACACCAGGCTGCAGGTTCTCAGTGGGGCTCAGGCGGGTGGGGCTGACCTTCCCATCCAGAGGTGGACTCACTGGGCCCTAGCGTCATGGGAGTCGGGGGGCGCCCTAGGAGTACATCCCGGGCCTAGTCCGTCCCCCGCTCAGCACCTCCACACACCATCGGGCTCAGCCGGAGCGGGGCACGGTCATGGCCATTACTGATATTTGCCCTGGGGCTGGTGGTGGACGGAGGTGTGGACTCCTTGCCCGCTAGTTTGGCAGGAACCCAGCCTCAGGGAGGTGTGGGACTGAAGGGAGAGTTGGCCTGACCTAAGACTGAGTCACTCCCACGGGCAGACGGGCCACGTCGTGTCTCCCCACCTCGGCCTCCTCTCGCCTCACCCTCTGCTGCATAGAAGGCCTCAAAGCCCGTGAACGGCCTCTCGTTGGAGTAGTCGGAGCGGAAGGTCACGTCTAGGCTGGAGGCCGGCGAGTAGAAGGTGTCATTGCCAGGGGCGCGCTCCGTGTCCGTGCTCTCCTGCCCGCACAGCGTGGCCAGCACCTGGGTCCCTGAGCTCAGCTGTAGGGTTGGAGTCACAGGAAGGGAGGGCGAGATGCAAGGCCCACCACCCCTCCCTCCGAGGCCAGACCCTGCTCCCAGAGGTCCCCGTCCCCCTGCCCTTGCGAAGGTCCCAGTCTCCCCCATGCTGGTGGCACCTTGACGTAGTCATACTCGCAGAGGTAGGAGAGCTCCAGGTGGAAGTGGGTGAAGTAGAGGCGCAGACGGTAGCCAGGGGGTGCGGTCAGGGTCCAGCGCCGCTCCTGGTTGTTGGCGTACTCCCCGGGGAAGCCAGGGGACACCAGGCGCCCAAACACCGGCTCAGGCCACTGTGGGCCCGGGGGTGTGGCGGCCGAGCCCCACAGCAAGCCCAGGAAGACCAGCAGCCTGGGAGCAGCAGCAGAGGGGGTGGGTGAGGGCCTTGTTCTGACCCCTCGCCTCTGCTGGGGAGACCGTGGGGGGCTCCCACTCACCTCATTGTGAACCCGTACCCCTGGCCAGGCCCGGTGTGGAGCCGCACCGCGTCTCACCTTTGATCTGTTTGTCCAGTGCCTGGGCCTGCCTCCTGCCTCCCTGACCCGGGGATTCTGGGAGTTGACCCCAGGACTCTGGCTTGCCCCGAGGTTCAGGTGGGGAGGAGAGGCCACTCTGGGAGCCAGGAGCTGGACCTGGATGACAGATAATGCTGGAATAAATCCCGGCTCCGTCCCTCACCCTGAATATCCATGTTCCCCTCTTGGTGTGTGACTTCTGAGGCCAGCGGGGACCTCCATGTCAATGATCAAGACAATGATGGCTTCTAGGGAGAAATGGGGATGCGTCTACTTTGGCTCCCTCCCTCCTACATCTACTTCTCCCCTAAGCAAGATGGGGAAGAGGAATTTTAAAAACACATGTATTTTTCCCACGCGAGGAGTGGGGAATATGGGAAAGGACGCACGTCTCTAGTTTGAAAGCCGGAAAAACAGATGGACAGGTGAGACCTGCCCTCAAGAAAGTAGCTCTAAGTCAGCATTGGGATTGGGAACTGGCTTTGGAATGGACGGCACCACAGGTCCTTCTGGAAGCATTAAGAGGCCGACCATTCCCGTTTCCCATCCCCTGACCCCAGTGGAAACAAGAGGGAATAGAAGGAGGAGGGTCCCGGGCCCCCTGAGCAGGGAGGGATGTCCAGTAAACAGGGAGTTTGAGCAGACAGACTGAACGTTGACAGCCCTAGCCTTCTTCCTGATCCAGCTTCTAGAACCATGCAGCGCCCCGGGCAGGCTTCTCTCTTGTTCCTGGACAGTGTGGCCAGTCCAGGAGGAAAGACGCCAGGACACTGACTTGGAAGGTTCTCCCGGCAAATGGCTCAGCCACACCACCTTCAGTGAAAACCCAGTCATGTGCTTAGAGACTCCAAATATCTTTTTAGTCCCCACTCTTACATATGAGCAGAACAGTCGAGGAAAACCTCAGACAGAAGAACAAAAAGAAGAGGAAACTATTTAAGAAGAACATTCGGGATGCCTGGGTGGTGCAGTCAGTTAAGCCTCTGCCTTCAGCTCAGGTCGTGATCTCAGGGTCCTGGGATCGAGCCCCGCATTGGGCTCCCTGCTCAGCGGGGAGTGTGCTTCTCCCTCTGCCTGCTGCTCTCTCCCTCTCTCTCATTCTCTGACAAATAAATAAATAAAACTTAAAAAAAAAGAAAAAAGAAAAAGAGCATTCAAAGAACAAAAAATAATTTTGGGAAATAAAAAGTATGATAGAAATGAAAAGCTCCATCGAATATTTGGAAGATAAGATGGAAGAAATCTTCTAGAAAATAGAGCAGGAAAGAAATGAAAAATAGTAATGATAAAACATTAACAGATTTGTACCGTATGTCACAGGCTGAATAAGAGGAGTTCCAGACGGAAATAAAGGAAAGAGAGGAGAGGAAATTATAAAGAAAAGAAATGCAAAGAAATGTCCCCAAACAGAAGAACATGAGTTTGTTGACTAAACTTTATGTGTGACACCTCAAAAGGCTAGAGAGAAAAATGATTTTCTACACACTGAGAGAGAAGGAGAGAGGAAACAACAAACTGCATACAAAATATCAGGGAAAGAATTACTCTAGATCTCCCAAAACAACACCGGAAGCTAGCAGCCAGCGTCCGACCGAGATGGCCTTCAAAGGCTCCTGCTTTGGGGGCACCTGGGTGGCTCAGTGGGTTAAGCTTCTGCCTTCGGCTCAGGTCATGGTCTCAGGGTCCTGGGATCGAGCCCCGCATTGGGCTCTTTGCTCAGCGGGGAGCCTGCTTCCCCCCCTCTCTCTGCCTGCTTCTTTCGCTACTTGTGATCTCTCTCTCTCCCTCTGTCAAATAAATAAATAAATAAATAATCTTAAAAAAAAAAAAGATTCCTGCTTTGGTGTCCTCGCCCCTCCCAAATGGAGCAAGCCTTGGGGGCAGATTATGGCTGAAGCAGTGTGTTACTCTGGAGTTCGGCCCTATAAGACCCTGACCTTCCATCTGGCTCTGTTCGGGATCCGTTGCTCTGGGAAGCCCGTCGCCACGTTGTGAGGACACTCAGTGTCCTTATGGAGAGGTCCACGTGGGGAAGAACGGAGGTCTCCTAGCCACCACTGTTGTCATTTGCTGGTCACGTGGGGAACCGTCTGGGAAGCTGACCCCCTCGCTTCCCAGTTAAGATCAGGTGACTGTGGCCGTGGCCGGCAGCTTTACTCCAACTTTACGCATGACTCCAGGCTGGACCAGCTCGCTAAGTCACTCCCCCAAATCCTGACCCACAGAAAAGACATCACTCTGCTATGTTTGGGCTAATCTTCAACACAGCAGTAGACCATTGACACAAATGGAAAAGGGCAAATCTCAAAATGCTAAAGGAAGATGATTTCCAACATAGAATTCTAGCTCCCATCCATGCTCTATACCCATCAATCAAGCACGAAGGTGGAACAAAGACATTTCATGGCTGTCAGAGTCTTAAAACTTTGTGTCTCTTGTCCCCTTCCTCAGAAAGCTGCTATAGAAAACACTTCACCCAGACAAGGGAGTAAACCAAGAAACAGGAAGGTTTGGAGTCCAAGAAACAGGACTTCCGGTAGAGTTCTGATGGGGGTAGTCAGAAGGCTCAGGACACAACACTTGTAGGGTTTAGAGATTGAAAAAAACTTTTTCTGTAGTTTTTTTTCTTAAATGAGAGTCTTAGTTACTTTCTGGTATAAATTATAAAGGAGAAATGCATATTACGTATATTAGTATTTCCTGTTAGTGAAAATTCCATTCAATGTGATCGTGAGCTAACTATAAATCATAATGGAGCAGATACTGGGACCTCATGGCCAAAAAGGCTGATCAGCATTCTGTCCAGATCCTCATGACATGTACTGAGTCCAAAGATCTTTAAAAAAAAAAAAAATCTTTTACCAAATCTTCAAGATTTGATAAAAACTTCGTGGCTAAACTGGTGATGAATTTATTAACGATTAAGCAAATGCAAAACACCTCCAGGAGCAGGCAGCAGCAGCTTGGGGGTGGACTCAGTCTCCCGTCCCAGCTGAGAGCCGTGTTTCGTGAGCTGTGATGGCGCCAACATGGGACATGGTGCTGACCGAGGTGATCGTTTGGTTGTTGAGGGTGTGGTTGGGTCAGGGAAGGAAAGAACTAAATCCGTAGTTCCCTAGTGGAAAGTCATCGGATGATGACTGAAACCAACGAGCTGGAAGGCAGTAAGACAGGAGGATACAGACATGCAGGTAAATACCAGAACCATCTGCTGGGAGTGGTCCATGTGGCTCGTCCTGCTGGAAGCCAAGTGGCCGGGGAGGGCCGCCATTTTCCTTCCAATGATCCTCTTGCAAATACTGGAGTCCTTAAACCCGGGCAGGCTTAGTTTTGATAAATAACTAAACTTCAAAACTAGACAGCGGCAGTGGGGAGGGGGCCTGGCTGCCTGGTCAGCAGAGCATGTGACTCTTGATCTTCGGGTTGTGAGTTCGAGCCCCATGTTGAGCATAAAGTTTACTTAAAATAACGACAAAACCCAAAAAGTTCTAGACAGGATAAATTTTATCCTCGATGCCATAGGCGGGGCCTGTTCATGGCCCTCTCGGGGTTTCTGGGACCTCAGGGCTCGGGCCTCGTCTGCACCGAATGTCTCACTTCTGCTTTGGGCCATCAGTCCCTCTCTCCCGTCCCATCTGTCTAGATGTGGGGTCCAGCGCTAGTCCTTCCCGTGAACCCCTTCAAGGAGGTTTTATCAAAAGCTGGGGAAGTGGAAGGACTTCCATTGCAGACAACTTCAATGTGCAGGTCGGGCATTCTTGATTCCCCAAGGACCCCAACTTTTTCTACAATTTGGGGCCCCCTGTCCCCTTCCTCTGACCCGACGGGCAGTCCCGATTCCCACGAGTTCCTCAAGCACTGCATGACCCACACTTCTTAGCCGAGCCGGTCACAAGTGAGGAACGTTGCCCTTAATGACTTTGCCAACAGGTCAAGCGAGCCGGGGGCTGAGCAGTTCATGCCACTGAGACAACAGGGGATGGAGTTGAGATTCAGACCCAGATCCAGAGCCCCTTCCAGCAGCCTTCCACGGTCACCCTGGGGATGGACCTTCCTGGAGTTTGGTAAGATGAGCTAGGAGAGGAGAGTGAACATCTGGGGATGTCCCTGTTGGGGTGCGCTGGGATGCAGAGGAGGCACACAGGGCAGGTCAAATAGACTGGAGTGGCTCTCCGAAGGCCAGTTGCCTGGTGTCCTCTGTGTGCTTACTAGGTGTGTGGCCTTGGGCAGGTCATCTACCTTTCCCGTGCAGTTAAAGCACCTTCCTCATGGGCAGCTGCAGGGTTTAAGGAAGGAGACCTGGGTTGGGTCAGACCTTCATAATTAGCCACGGTCGCCTTCCTTTAACAGACATTCTGCCTTGTGGCTCATGTCATGTCCCCACCTGGCCTCACTGGGAGTAGGGAGACCTGGTTTTAAGATAGTTCTAGGGTTAGGGGATGGTGGGATGGCAAAGTTAGCTTGTGATCACATGTTCAAAGGGGATGGGGGTGCGTGGAGCCCAGAGAGGGCAAGTGTCCTCTCTGAAGTCTTTCTAGTTGGCTGTGCAGCTAGAGGCTTGTTCCCCTCCCCTATGATGACTGCGGTTCCAGCCCCGCCAGAAACTGCCAGGTCCAAGGTAGCTGCAGGTCGGGGGTGTTCTGGTGCCCCACCTCCCTGCCAGAGCCACTCCCTTGTCCCCTTCCTGCCAGGTCTTCCAGGTCAACCCATCCTCTGGCCATGCTTCTGCCCAGGGTAGAGAAAGGTCTTGGTGAGGTCAGCTTTTCCAAAGAGCAGGGCCCTTTCCTGCAGATCCTGAGACAGGAGTGGGCTGGAGGCACCCCCCGCCAATCTGCACCCCATTATGTGGCTATTCTCCTCCTAGGAGGGCTTCAGTCCTGGCTGGTGGGAAGGGTGAGGTGCCTGGGGAAGAAGAGGGAGATTCAGGACCTTGGAGAGGGGACAGTCCTGCACCCACAGAGTCCTGGGAAGGCCACCCACACCTGCTTTC